GTAAAGGGCAACCCCCAACCGCATTTGAAGATATTTGAAATACGGCAAAAATAAAGGCAGAATAAGGCCAGGCATTGCCTGAGAGAATGACAACAGCCTGGTTGCAACACAATTTTGCAAAGGGTTCCGCTAGACAATTCCCTCATGTTGTTTTTGTGTGAGAACTTGATTCGACTGGAGTCAGCTGTAGCGGGTGCTCCTTCACGTGTCACGTGGTCGGTGTGGCAATCCTGAACAAGCGCCAGGGGTCACTTCGTGTCTTGACTGGGCCCCTCCCAAGCAACCCCTGAGTCATGGCTGCCATCGCCAGTCCTGGACCTTTTGGCGCTCTTTGGGCGCGGCAGGGCAGGCCAATCCACCAGCTCAGCCAGCGCAACCCGACACCGCGTCAAGTCCGTCGTCAACGACAACAGTGTTTACCGACAAGGCTGCAGCTCCAAGCGCAGCGGTAGCACAAGCAGCACCAGGGCCGACAGATCAGGCTGCAGCTCCAAGCGCCCCGTCGGCGGGGGGATTTACGAAGCTGTTCGGAGATCCTCATCAAGAACGAGATCACCTGCGGTAAGGCAGCAACCTGCCTCCGTGCCGAAGGCATCAGCAAGGCGCCAGAGATCCAGGACACCGCTCAAGGCCGGAAGCGCAGCGAGGTCAAGGTCGCGGAGCCCACGCTCCCCATCGCCGCCTGCACGTGCATCCTTGAGCGGCAGGCCTCTCATCCTCGCGCCGGCCAACTGTGCTTATCCCACAACAAGAGTCAGCGCCGAGATTTGGATCTTGCAGCATCGGTAAGAAGGAGCCCCGGGGCCAACCCAACGGGCTCCACATCCACCGCACTCGGACGACCCCTACTTACAACATTCCCCCGGACGCGATTCATCGGCACCTCCTGCAAAGGCCAAAAGAATCGTCTTTGCAAAGAGGGAGAGCCCGGTCAAAGCACCTCCGCAAAGCGTGATTGATCAGGCAGCTGCAGATCGCGGTGCGTGAAAGGCTATCCGACCTCCACCGTTGAGGTCACCACCTGCACCAGCGCCTAGGGCTGCAGCTCAACGCGCAGCATCGGTCCCAGGATGGCAACAGGCAACGGCGCTGACACACCAAGCCCAGCAAGCAGTCGAACGAGCTCGTGTACAGACCGCACTAGCTGAACAAGCTGTGCGGTGAGGCAGGAAGCTGAAGGCCACGTCTATCTGTTAAGACAGGAAGCCGTAAGCCATGTTGAACGTGCTAGGCGTGAAGCAGAACAACAAGGTCGGCCGCAGAAGCCGAAGTGTCAAGGTTGAGACAGGAGGCCATCCAGGAAATTTCCACACGGGGCCAGAAGATCCTCCAGCAAAGTAAAATGATAGATGCATTAGGTAGTGAAAACCTTTTGTTGTCGCATCGCCTTGCTGACCTAGAAAGGGCTGTCGCATCCACGGCACAAAATCTTTCGGTCCCTCCGGATGAAATTCATGAAAGTCAAAATCCTACGGATCCCGGGTTATCGGGGCAAAACGTGGTTGGACGTGACCTCCAGGTTGGATCACAGGCTCCCCAAGTTCAAGGGCCTAGTGATGCCACACGTGAGCAGCTTTCCCATAAGGATGCAGCTCTAGGCGCATTGGGAAGCTCAAGTGACCCTAAGGTACCGCCGTGCCCCTGTTCGTTTCCCAAACAAAATCCTTCGGACCCCCTCAGCCCGACATCAAGTCAGATGCCAAGCGTGTGCAAAGCCAGGATGGTGATCCACGTGCACAACCACAAGGACCACTGGCTGTTGCTCGGACTCAGGATGTAAGGGGGCCTGGAGACGTCCAGGCACAAATGTCCTCCTTAACTGAGCTGGTTCATCAACTCTCAATGTTAGTTGTTGCCCAGGTAGGGGTATCAGGGGCTTCGCCCCCGATCGCATCGGCTCAGGCACATGCGCCTTCCGTAGCCGCACAGCGCACAACTGCTGTTCCCGCGCTTAGGCTAACAAGTTCAAGTACAAGTCAAGTGGCTCAATTCCCACCCTCCCCGCTCGCACCTTCGGAGGCAAGCTCCGACACATCCTCACAATCCGGTGACGAGGGCTCACCAACTGAGAAGTACACCGGGCCGCCTCCGCGGGCCCTCAGATGGGACACCGCTGCAGGTCGCCACCTCGTCGGTAAGCAGGCTTAAAACAGCACCATGATGCATTGCGTACGCAAGACCAACACACTGGTAGGCTTTGCCACAGGCAGAGGAGCGCAACAAGGAGATAAGTCTCTTGCGTTTGAGGGCTCTCGTGTGGTCCCGCCTGATGAGCAGGTTTACGTTTTGAACGAATGTCCACCCGCCCAATCCATTGGCAAAACCGTCATCGATCGAGGTTGCCTCTTTATCTGGGACCTCGGAGAGAACGTACCTCACCTTGTGCCCTTCTGAAATTGGAAAGCGCAAGCTTCGTGGTGCTCGTGCGGAAACACCTCTCCTTGCTCTGCTCGCGCTTCACTCCATTGCTGTCCGCATGCTTGCTCTTCCCAGCTCTTCTGGATTTCTCTTCTCGTTGCTCAGCCTCCGCAGCGGGCTGAACGTTGCCCCCCTGCACGATGCCTTGCAGGACCAAGACATCCAGGTAGGACGCTTCGCTTCAGGTCGTTTTGCGTGGAGGGACGCCGCTGCTGGACCAATGGCAACATCCAGCTAGTTCCTTCTGAGGCCGGTTGGCTGGGTCACTGTTCCCTCTCCGCGGTGGGCTGGCCAGCTTCTGATCAACGATCTCAGGATTGACATGGCCCTATGGGCTGTCATTCCCAAGTTTTTATTTCTCCTCCGACGGGTTCTTGGGTAACCCGGACTCATGTTCCTAATCGGTGCAACGCGGAAACGCGGACACACGCGGACAGGGTCTGAAAATACCCTTATTCCACTGGGGGCCGGCAAGAAGCAGACCCAGCTGCTGACTGGGTTCGCTGCGCTGCCTGTTTTCAGGTTTGAAG